GGCGATTACGATGAAGATGAAGGTTGTTTGAAAGTCCGATCGGAGGAGGACGATGAAGTGATCCGCGATCTGAAAGTTAACGATGGTATTCTGCTTCCAAGCGATGGTCTTGGACTTCCTACCAGATTTCAAACTACATATGAATGGTACATTAACGGTAGATTATTTAAGATTGAGTACTAGTTTATATGGAAATGAGTACTAGTGGGTTTTAGAATGAACATTATGTTATTCGTAAATGAATATTCAACAAATTTGTGAAAATGAGTACGACATTATTTCTGAATGAGTATTGTGTTATTTCAAAATGTGTACCACACTTTTCAAATGAACCATTATGCTTGTGCAAGAATGAGTACTACTATACTTCGGAATGAGTACTACATGGATGTACCTATCTAGATACATCCGGATGTACCATATACACTCCCATTTTAATTAAATCAGAATCATTGAAATGAATGGAAGAGAAATTGATGTACACAACGTGAGGCGTCTACCGGTTGAGAAAAGCCCATGGCGGGTTCCGACTGGGCAGACGAATGGCAGCTCGTCAACGACGATGGCTTCATCTACAAACGCCCGAAGAAGCGCTCCCGCCTCGATCCCCAAACTCCATCCTCCTCCTCCTCCCATCCACTGCGTCATGACTACGCGGCGGAGGAGAAGAAGATTCTCCGGGAACGGAAGAGGGCCGCACTCCTCAATCTCAAAAACAAGTATCAAAGGGAGATTCGCATGTGGGAACAATTATCGAACACCTTGAATGCGACGTGCGAGAAAGCCTCCGCCCATCAACAGATTCAACAAGGGGATCCGGTATCATCATCTGACCTAGTCTCCGGAACCTCCGAACCGCCGGCGGATAACTCCTCCCGGAGAATCATTGACGACCTCCTTTCTCAGGTAATTCTTACAACCACCTTCTTCTTCTGAATTTCGGCGTGCTTATTCAGTTGAATTTGAAGTGATTTGAGTTCGATTCGGTTTCTATAGGCGGAAATTCAAGGAGCCGTGATTGCCGACATCTCTAAATTATGCGATGATGCTGAAGTCTTGTGCAGGTTTCAAGAAGAAAGGCTTAAGAAACGGTTTCTGGACCTTCCAATTTGGGAAAAATCTCCACACAGACTCATTTCTTCACTGTCCCAAGATTGAGCCCATTTTCTAGGGTTTTGTCAGATGAATGTTAAAAATCATTTGACCCCATTTCAATCTGTGTCGATATTTCTCCAACTGCTGCTAGAATTTAGCTTGTTCCCTTCGTGTTTCTGGTTTGAACATTTGTTCTTAGCTGTATTGATTGCAGAACTAGCACAAAGGGGAGTCTTGAAAGTGAGCTCTTACAACCATTAATGGTGGGACTCTACTCTGGACACTCTTCTCAATGGTGATGTTTTGTGTGCCGGGTTTTCCTTTTGTCTGACTAGGATCAGCTTAAATGTATGCTTTTTTCAAGGCCAATGAGTCCGAACGGTTCATTTTACTAACAAGTGTGTGTTTCTTTGGTTGATTCATTGCTTGTATTTGGATTATTTCGACTCAAGTATGCATTTGAGTGTATTGAGTAATTGGACAGACAGCTTTGAATATTGTGGTAATGACATGAGCTGATTGAAGCAGGGCTTGCTTTGCCAGTCAATATGTATGTTTTGGCCTGTAAGTTTCTCTTTGCTTGTTTAATGATGACAATCTCACCAGGTCTTAAACTGCTGTCCTAGATGCCAGATGTTTTGGCATTTGTAATCCTATTTGTCTATTGTGTCTTTATGTCAAGACTGGATTTGAGGTTGTTTTCAGAGCAATTACAGCTTGTCTCATCCCATCAAGTTTGGAAATGGTTGTTCCAATTCAGACTTGGGCATGACAATGACACCGGAATTGGGTATGTTCTTCGTCTTATTAATTATTTCAAATAAATTATTTATTCTCATTGTAATTAGATTAGTCTAAAGCAGACTAGGAACATCAAAGATCATCACTAGCAGTATGTTTGGTACAAGGAATTTGAAAGGATAAAGAAAAGAAATTAAGATGGAAAACAATTTTTCTTGTTTGGTTAGAGAGAAAAATAAAAGAAAAGTGGACTGAAAAGAAAATGAAAAGGTAAAGTATACCTAGAGGAGAGAAAATCAAATTCCTTTCATGTTGGTGAGGAAAAAGATAGAAACTCATTTTCTTTTCTTTTCCTTTGTGATTTCTTGAACCAAACATAATGTAAATGTTACGGAGTATATTTCATTAAATTTATCACCTGCTCTTGGTCAGCTTAAGAGTATATTGTTAGTGAGGGGATGAGAGAAGAGGTTAGCAAGACAAGAAAAATGACCCACTATTACTTGCATGTTAAGCTTAGCCCAAAGACAATATTACAAACTTCTGAGGCGCAATACGAAGTTCTCAACAACAATAACAAACCCAGTAAAATCTCGCTAGAAGTAAGGTCTTGGGAGTTGATATACTACTCCCTCTGTCCCATTTTAAATTGCTTGTTTGCCTTTTTTCTCCGTCCCAAAATAAGTTGTCTGTTAGTTGTTTTCGTAAACTGTTAAGAGTAAAATACTTAAACTACCTCTAAAATAAATCACTCTTCTCTACTTTATCTTCTCATTCATCGGCATACCTCCTAAAAAGTACTGACAATTTCGAAAAATCAACTCTATTTTTTCTTTTCCTTAAATATGTCCAAAAGTCAAAACAGACTGTTTAAAACGGGACGGAGGGAGTACGTTTTAATATCTCTTGATATCAAATTTGTGTGTGTGTGTGTGTATGTTTTGATGATGCCTAAATATGATACGAATTTGATATCTCTCGACATCGTAACTCTTCTAAATGGGGTGGTTTTATATCTTCCAAAATTCGAGGGTTTTGATATCCCCTTAATCGTCCACGGCTGCCCACCATTGCCTTGCATGGCATCACCCTTCCTCCACGGTTTGAGAGCCATGAACCAGGTAGCCTCTTCCCAATTTCTTTTATTTTGTACATTGTATTTTTTTTATTTTGTACAAGAAAGCTTTTTCTAAATAGAAGTACAACTATTGTAATGAAAAAAAGATAAGTAACATAAATTCTTTTGTGTATGTTTTATGAAGTCTAAACTAATTTTGAATTTGATATCTTTTGATGTCACAATCTTTTTAGATAGGTTCTTTTGATACTTTTAAAATTTAAAAGATATCAATACAATTATTTTTAATACTCCCCATCTCCTTAATTTGATTGTCGAAACTTGACAAACATCGCCTCCGACCAACAACTATCTACCACCATTGATGCCAACCACCACCACCCCCACCAGTCAGTGACAACTACGTATTTTCAATAACCATCATTAAAAAAAAGTAACCATCGTTTCATAATTTTCCAAACGCTTTAATTTTAAATTTCAATGCTCATATTATTTCTTAACTTTTTTACAAGACAATTATCCAGAACACTTTATACTTGTAAAGACTCTTATACTAAAGCAAACCCCAATACCTTTTGGCAATGCTGCTGCTGCAAATTATCCTTGCTAAACAGTAGGGATTCTTGGGAATGACTTTCTTTTTTCTTTCTTAATTCATTTCGTTATGTGGATAATAAAGAAGCCACTTTACAACTTGATGATTCTTGCACAAAATGTTATAGAGAATGTTTTGATTTGATGGTATGGTAAGATGGGCCAGTAACTAAGATAAGAATAATTTTTTGACTTTGGCCTTATCCCACTATATATATTCTCCTCCACTTACATTATATTCAATATATATCCACTTACAAGGTAAAAAAAACTTTCACTTTATACATTTACGGAGTATTTCTTTGAATATATTTTGAATATGCACACCATGTCACTATGAAATTGATATGTGCATATTCAATAAATGAATAATGCACATTTTGTAGCAAAAAATCATTTTCATTTTTTGTTAAGAATATATACTTCTATATCAATGAAAGGATAAAAAAGAAATATTGAAAATAAATTGCCAAAAAGGGCACATTTATTATTTATACTCCCTACATGCTTCGCGTGCACATTATAAAATTAGTACGGAGTATATTGGTATTTATAACAACTTAACCTAGAGCGACCCATTTGTTCAACACCTCCAACACTAGAATTGTATTGAATTTAAGTTACTATGGAGGGGAAATGAAAGGGATTTTTTTATCAATGAACCTCTAGCCCCTAGATTAGCTCTTAGGTCAGATCAATTAGGAATGTCTCATTTTAAATGGTAGTGTGTGAGCTTATCAGACATTGATTTCTTGTGTGCAAAAGTGGACATGCTACGTAAAAATTTGAGAGACGAAAGAGTTTAGATTTACCTCTTTTAAGGTTCTTGATGTAGATAGGGTCTTAGAAATTTAAAATTATTTCGATACAAGTTGAAAATTCTAATGTATAAAAAAAGTTTATGGACATTTATGAGTTACTCCATACAATATAATGATATATAATACTCATTAGATCTACGCAAAAGTATATACATTCGTGGATATATTTTCAATTTTAGTCATACAAATTTATTTTTTTTCTCTCTCAAACTTAAAAGAGGTGGAATGTCTAAATAATTTTAAAAAGAGTAGCAAGACTTGAATAAGATACAAATTGATTTAAAAACTTGAACAAATATTTTACAGACAAAAAATACATCAATCTTTTAGATTTGTTACTCCGTACATGTTACTTGTTTGGTTTCTTTGTTTATATTGAAAAACACTTATACTCTACTTGGAGTGTTTTTATATATAAAAAATTGAAAAACACTTAAACTCTACTTGGAGTGTTTTTATATATAAAAAATAGAGCGCAAACATCATTTTCCCACGTGTTATACGATCTTTGTTCCGAAAAAACTTTTTATTATTATTTTTAGTTAAACAGTGATATACATTGATTACAAATTATACATGATTTGAATAAACAAATACGGAGTATTATACAAATTGATAAATCAAAACTATATTTTACGTTAAAATTAAATATGCTTTTTTTTAAAAATATATAATCAAAGAATGTCATATTTGATAGAAGGAAAAACTACCCAAAATAATCCCAATTTTACCCGGTCTTTCAAAAATAATCCCACATTTCACTGTGATGCATAATAATCCCAACTTTACTCAAATTTGCCAATTTTGGGTCGCCGTTAAGTTTCTAATGAAGGGTTAACTGAAATGCCCGTTTTAGACAACAAAATGAAAGTTGGGATTATTTTTGATGAATTTTCATTTTTTTTATTTTTTTTTAAATTTTTCATTTAAATTTTTTAAATTACTTTCTACCTCCATCATCATTTCTTTTTACTTTTTTAAAGATTAGTCTTAGTTTAAAAAATAAAAATAATAGATATAAAAAATGAAAAAATGAGAAATGTAACTAAAATGATACAAAAATAATAAAATAAATAAGGTAATCAATGAAAACTAACTTGAAATTGGTAAAAGTAAAATAAAAATATACGGGTGGTTTTAATATTTTACGCATTATACAAAGTATTAACATATCACTACTTATTTTTTATAAAAAATTATCTACAATAATTTCAACTTTACCGGACGGCTTGTTCTTTTAAAAAATAAATAGTATATTAAGACTCCGTATAGTGTGTAAAATGTTATTAAAACCCACCACTCCGTATATATTTATTTTATTTTTTACCAGTTTCTGTTTAATTTCTATTGATTACATTATTTATTTGATTAATTTTGTATTGTTTTAGTTATTTTTCTCATTGTCATCATTTTTTATATCTATTTTTTTCTAAGGTAAGAATAATCTTTAAAAAAGAAAAAGAAATGGAGGTTGAAAGTAATTCAAAAAATTTAAATAAAATTTCAAAAAAAAATTAAAAAACAAAAATTCATCAAAAATAATCTCAACCTTCATTTTGTTGTCTAAAACGAGCATTTCCGTTAACCCTCTGTTAGAAACTTAACAGCGACCCAAAATTGGGAAATTTCAATAAAGTTGGGATTATTATGCATCTCAGTAAAATGTGGGATAATTTTTGAAAGACATGGTAAAGTTGGGTTTATTTTGGGTAATTTTTCCTTGATAGAAAAATAAAAAAGGGGAATTTTTTTGAGAAGAGAGGCGGTATTTTATTTCTTAAATTAGGTGGTAATAAATTTTGAAGTGGAAGGAATAAATGACAACTCAAATGTTAACATTGGATTCTCTAGAGGAAAAGGCTTAGCATGCAGGCTGCGGGGGGCCCATGAAATAGAAATATGAGTGGGTGCACAAAAAATGCCATTCAATTTTGAAAGCATTTAAAGTACTTTTCCCAAAAATGCATGGAGTATTAAATTTTAATCCTTAATTTATAGTAACAAAATTGAGCTTCTCTAACAAAATTGAGCTTCTCTAACTATGCATGGAGTTGAATAGTAAAAATTTTATTTCCCAAGATTCGTCATGAATAATACATCTAACTACGGAATAATATAAATTTGATTTTCTTTGATGCACAGAATTCAAATTTTGAAATTGCATTTGAGAATAATAATTCTAATTCTGTTGTTAAATAGCACAAAATATGTTGATTTAAAATTGATAGTGCCAAAAATAAATAAAAGGTAGAGAATTCAATTTTAATCAAATCAATGTCATAAGTTTTCAAATTTCAATTCAATTTTTCAAAATTCGCAGAAATTGAAGATTATTTTCTCAAAAAAAAAAGAAGAAATAAAACTACACATACAAAGCAAAACTATTTTCTATATTACAAATGAGATCATGCTACTAATAATCATCTTAATTCCATGCCACAAAAAAGAGACAAGACCAACAAACCCAAGAACAACAAGACAAAAGAGATTGGAAATTTTAAAACAAATACGTAGTAAAATTTAAAAAAAAACAATTTTAAAACTGCTAATCACTCTGCTAATTACCGCGATTAAACTCTAACTAATTCGCCCTCTCCACGCGGCGCACGAACACGGATTCCAGTTCCGGCGGCTCGAAGAACTCCTTGACGCCGTTATAACGGCAAACGGAAGAAGGCCGGCGTTTCCTCGGCGCCGGCGGACACGGCAGCCTCTCCGGAATCCTAGACCCTCTGGCCGTCGGAGTCGTCGACCGCTCGTCGTCGGAACGCCGGCAATCGCCACCCTCCGCCGCCGGCTTTGTGGATATTGACTTCAGAGGAGCACAAATTGAAATTTCCGAAAATGCCCATTGCTTTCCTCCCTTCATTTGATTCATTCCCCGCCCTCTCTGTTTCTTTGAAGAAAAACAGAGTATTTATCTCAGAGAGAGAAATAAAAGGAATAAACTTTCTTGCAAAAAAAGGGGCTTTTTTCCGACAAAAGGGAAGGGAAGATGAACAGGAGAGATAAGGGCGCGTTTGTTTGGCCGGAAAATCGAAGCTTTTTTTCTTCTTCTTCTGGGAATTGCTCTGGGGGAGAGAAGAGTATTTGATGATGATGATAATGATTGAGGATAAAACCAGGGGCTGCCCGGGGATTTATTTTGGGCAGCGCGGGAACATTGAGGAATTTTGGCGGGAAAATCGGGATATCAACGGTTATATTTCCCGCCTAAGTAAATTTGTCGGTTTTTCCCGTATTGCCCTCCGCTTTTTTTTTGATGGGTGGAGCCCGCGTTCCGCGTTTTATGGTGCAAAAAGGGAACACCGTGTTTGGCTTAATTCTTTTTTTTTAATTTTGCTTTGCTATTTATAAATGATAATCCCATTTTTGTCAAATTACAACGTTGAGATTAATCCTTTAAATAATAATAAAGGGAACTTAAAAGAGAAAGAGAAAGAATCAAAGAAATGGCATCTCAAAAGAGAAGGGCAAAAAAGTAAATTATTCCGTACGAAATGTCCTAAATGACCATCACAAAAAGGCTATAGCAGCTTTCTACACCTATGGGTTTAAGTGTTTGATTAACAATACCCTCTAGATTAATCATTATATAAATATATTTAGAAATAAAAATCATGGTTTGATTTTATGAAATTTAAAAAGTCTTTTCTCATTAGGCATGATCGGTTACATGGACGATTAAATTTCATCCTTTTTTAATCTCACTGAAAATACGTCGGATTATCTGGACATCGAGTCTACACACCTTAGCCTTAATAAACTGCTCTGTAATATCTCCTCCGTTTCAAAACAAAGTTTCCATTCTTACTTTTGACCAATTTAAGGAGAGTGTATTTTATACTGTTGGAATTTTTGGCATTTTTAATAGGCATTAAATGGACCAACTTGAGTATAGTTATCAATAGGTCCACTAACGGTTTTAACCGTTAACTAATGGACGTGTGTTCTCTTAAATGAGATAAATATTTTGATAATTTATATGGCAAAAATGGTAGAAGGTGAATGAGAAATTGATTCTCAGACTTAACCCGTTAATAAAAGAATATGGTAAGGATTGCAATTTTTGCAATTTTTACTGAACCAATCTTCTTTTATTAATTTTACGTATTGTTTAAAATTAGTTCATTTATACGGAGTTAACTGGCCATTAATCTCCAATTATTCGGGACAAATTTTAAACGGAGCGTAGCGTAACGGACGTGTTAATGGCTAATTAATCACCATTAACACACCATTAGTGTGCCACAAATGCCATGGTTTAATACTAATAATAAATTGTGTAAGTTACACTTTTCAATTTCTTAGTTATAAATTCAAATCAAGAGGCTCTCCTTTCTTAGTGGGTTTCATGCGTAAGGAAGAGGGAAAGAAAGGGGAAATATTTTCTTGTTTTTCTTTTTAGGGAGCTCTTGATTTTCCGGCCAACCTTCCGGCAATCCCCTTCAAAGTTTTTTGGTCGCCAACGTTCCTACGTTGTTCTTGTTCGTTGGTGTGTGGTTGGTCTGTACAATCTCCACACACGATAGCGGTTTTATCCTGGGAGGAGAGTGCCCACGTTTTTCCGGTACGGTAGGCGGACACTACTACCTTAAGGACAGCTCCGGCGACTCCGCTGTCCTTCCATGGTGTTTTATTTTGCAGGTTCAGTTTATAAAGACCTCGCTGCATTCCGCCATAGGACATAATGTCCTCGTTGTCCAGTGCATAACGTCCTCGCTGTCCAGTGCATAATGTCCTCGTTGATCAGTGCTTAATATCCTCATACAACAAGGCTTTTTGAAGATATAGAAATTTATTTTCTATTCTGTTTATTTTGTAATATTCTGAATAATTTATTTTCTATTCTGTTTATTTTATTTATATTTCCGTTAAAGTTGGGGGAAGATGAACGGCCCCGGTAATAAAAATAAATAAAATTCTAAATTTATAACTTATTCAGAATATTACAAAATAAACAGAATAGAAAATAAATTTCCATTATACATGTTACTCTTTCCACATGTTCTTGTGTATTTCTGGATTATCAAACCTATACACTAAGAATCGATACGCGCTACCACTGTAGTCAATAAAGATTCCATCAACGGTCTTTGGACCAATCTTTATTTTTTTTCTTTTGGTGGTGGTGCTAAAACTTTTGCAAGGCACCCCCACACTTTCAGGTATTTATAGGAAGGTTTCCTATTATACCACAACTCGTAAGGAGTCTTAACGAGTTTCTTTCGGGGTATTTTATTTAACAAATAATTGCTAGATAAAATAGCCTCCTTTAGGACCAATTTTCTTCTTGTCCTTGTTTTGCTTAGGCCCTTTGGAAGAACCCTCTTTGGGTGGATGCTCCACCACATTGGCCTTAGCAACAACTACTTTCTTCTCGCGAGTGAGACCCTCTTCACGGATCCGGAGATGCACAAGCAACTGTTCTAAAGTCATTTCTTTCCGTTTGAGCTTGAGATAGCTCTGGAACTCATCCCAAGCCGGTGGGAGCACATGAATAATCGCCGCCACTTGGAATGCCTCACTGACTCCCATTCCCTCGTCAGTGCACTCATTAAAAATGAGAATCAATTCTTCAGCTTGACTGACCACGGGTTTGGAATCCACCATCTTAAAATCCAAGACCTTACCGACAACGAATTTCTTCGCACCGGCGTCCTCGGCCTGGTATTTGTTGGACAGTATAGTCCATAACTCCTTTGCGGATGCGGCCCTGCTATAAACAGCATATAAGGCATCGCTCAAGCAATTCAGGATAAGATTAAGGCACGTATAGTTATTCGCTATCCATGCCTCTTTAGCCTGAATTGTTGGCTCGTCCGCGTTCTCCCCCACAACAGGGGATCCTCCCTCAAATACCTCGCAAGGTTGAGGGTGGTCAGCCAAAATAACATCCTTTGCTGGCATATTTTAAAGCCAACACCTGTGAAACTTGCCAAGGATTTTATCAATATAATGGGATTGACTCAGTGCTAAATCTGGTCGAGTGCAACAAGGCTTTTTGAAGATATAGAAATTTATTTTCTATTCTGTTTATTTTGTAATATTCTGAATAAGTTATAAATTCAGAATTTTATTTATTTTTATTACTGGGGCCGTTCATCTTCCCCGTTCGTTGTAATCCGTACAAAAATTATAACATATACTTGATTTTTCAATTTTACCTCTAGATGTAAAAAATAAAAGTGTAATATGATGACATTAGTAGAATAATAATGAATAAGGATTATATGATGGGTAAAGTAATAATTAGGCTTTGTTCTTTTAGATTGGAATTTCAGAATTGGATTCTGGAAAAAATTGAAAAGAGTTGGAAAATGTTGGAAGAATTTTAGTGTTAAAAAAACGTCACTCAATTAAATGATCACCCAAATACATATGTAAGAAAACTTTAATTTTGGATAAAAAAGAATCCATCCTTATCGTGGTTGATGAAATATATTTTAAATTTGGTTACGTAATGTTATTTTATATTCATCGTATATAAATACATTTTTTAAATCATTGGAAGAAATTGGAAGAAAGTGAAAAAAAGTTAGAAGTTAATTTTTTCAACACAAAATAACAGAGCCTTAGTAGAGGTAGTATAGACGTAACTTTTCCATGAAAAGTAGAAATATTTTGTTTGTAGAGAAAAGAGTAAAAGGAAACTGTTGTGTGAAACAAAATGAGTATATACTAAAGATGCTTTATTATTAAGCCCAAATTTTTGTTGACTTCACAGTCAATTATTCGACTCAAAAATTAGGAAATTCAATTGGAGGGCGTGCATAGATGCGTAGGGGACTTGGCGGATATGAGGAGTTTACCAGAGGTGCAAAAAAAGAAGGAAAAAGAGGGAAAAAAAAGGGTTTAAGAGGTTTAAACTTTTAACCATTTACTCAGTAGAAGAAGAAGGGATTAGGCTATACGGCATGTCAGGAATCTTAATTGGCAAAAGGTTCTCACATGGTGTGCTAAGGCGCGCCTACCTATCCTCCCAAAGGCTAGTATTGGAAATTCACTCCCCTTCTAATACTCCCTCCCTCCACTTAATTCTTGCCAATTTGATTTTCATGTTTAATATTTTATATTTTAACTATAAATTATTGAGAAAAATAAAGACATGTTGAATTGTAATATAAATTTATCATCAATATATTCATTTTGAACATAGTTTTGAAATATTATATAAACCGTAAACTTCAATGCAACATAGAATTAAGTCTACGTTATACCCACACAATAATACTTCATCCATCTTATAAAAAAAGTTTCATACTATTTCTCTTTTTCGTTGCAAAAAATGAATTCGTGGCCCTTGTAATTTCCAGTCTTCTCTACATCACTTTCACCATAAAATTTTTCATTTTCGCAACTATATTTATTACCAAATGATGATTAGTGAAAATAATTAAACGAAGTGAATAACTTTTGACCGTGTGTATAGTGCATGGGAAAAACGTTTCCGGACGGAGAGAGAGTAATTTTAAAAAACAAAGAAGGTGTGTTGAATTAGTAACAACAACAATGTTAATAATAACTTCACTTCTCTCAAAAAATAACAACAACAACAATAATAATAATAATCAGAATAATAATAATCATAATAATTAATAATAATAATAATAGAAATCTATGACATTTTTATTTTTTCAAACGGGATGAACGTGAGATGCACATTCATTGCTTATTAATTTGAAGGATGAAATTAAAAAAGGGACACATACAAACGGCGGTGTGTTATTATTGCTGCAGTAGTGAAGTAAAGAACAAACGTGACTACGGCCGGGCACGGCCAACACCAATTTGCCACTTGCTAACACTTATCATCCTTATTCTTCCTTTTTTAATCAAGTTTTAGATTTTAGTATTAGTTTCATTTTTTTTTACTCTTAAATTTTAGTTTTGTTCTTAAGTTTTCAATTTTAGTATTTTACTTTTTTTTAAAATATTTTTAGCTTTTTTTCTACTTCTAATTTTTGTAATTTTAGTGTTTGTTTTGATTTTTTTAGCTTTCTTCTTCGACTATGGCGCCTAGTTTTTATTTTGACGAAATAGCTCTTGTGCCCCGATTAGTTTTAAAAATTAATATCAATACTCAATCTATTTTTAAAACTTATTTCTAAAATCTCCTTGGCTCAAAAAGTTACACATCACCCCTCTGACCATTTCCAGTCATTTTTCGTCGAAGATGGAACATTGATGCATAATTTCTCAATCATAGAAAGCACTCGTGCTCTTTTCTTATTTTTCATTTATTATTTTATTTTTCACTTTTAAACTCTTTTTATAAATTTTTGAAATTTTTTTATTTTGTTTTTAAAAATTCAAAATTGTTTGTATTTAAAATAAAAATAAAAAAATTATAATATACTCCATCTATCTCAAATTACTCCCTCCGTCCTGTTTTAAATCGCCTGTTTTGATTTTTGGGTATATTTAAGGAAGAGAAAAAATAGAATTGATTTTTCAAAATTGTCATTAGTTTTTTGGAGGGGTGACGATGAATAAGAAGATAAGAGGATAAGAATGATTTATTTTACGGGTAGTTTAGGCATTTTACTCTTAAAAGTTTACAATAACAGGTAACAGACAACTTATTTTGGGACGGAGAAAAAAGACAAACATACAATTTAAAATGGGATAGAGGAAGTAAATATTTTCACTTTTTATTTTCTATAAATTTTTTTGGTAAATTTAATATATATCCAGAATAAAAAAATTAAAAATATGGAAAACCAAATTTAAAAATAAAATTTAAATTTTTTTATGCACTATTAATTTTTTATTACCTACTTTTAATTCATTTGACTTGGTTTTTGAACAATGAAATATTAAAAATAATTAAGAAAAATAATTCAACGAAATTTTAATTTATTTATGTACTTTTAATAGTTTATTATCTACTTTTAAATTTAAGAAAAAATGAAATGTTTAATTTAAGTTTAAATATTTTAATTAAATTAAATGTTAAAAGTTAAATTAAAAATCCAATGTAAAAGGAGGAGAAAAGGAAACACACCCCTAAAAAGGAATGAAAAGGAAGAGTGAAAAGAATACTGACCCAACGCTGAGTTGAAAGAGAGAGAGGGAAACCATACCCAACAACTTTAAAGATGTCTGGTTATGCATCTTAAGATAATCCAAAAAGAAACTGACATTTTAATTTTAAAATTTAAATTTAAAAAATATTCAGATATTCAATTTGATGCGTAAAAATTAAGCTCATGTTTCCATTTTTAGAACAGACTTCACAATTTAGGATCACAAAGTTATAGACAAAACCGAAACATTAAGCTAACCAAAACATGTACTAATAATGGTGAGACTCAAACACAAACACACAAATCTACAACTGGTCATGGTTAAGCATTTGGAGAACACGGATGCTCGGGGCAAAAAGCAGTAGATAGTTAAGCTCATTAAAAAAGCTCAAGCTTTTAAAATAAGTTACATCGACCGGGAAGCTTTTTTAAGCGAAGATGACTCTTTAAGTTATAGGCTAGCTGCCAATGTAGGCTTAGGATTACAACATAACAGAAAAGATCAGAAATTGCATAAATATGGCGTTTAGTTTTAAACAATGGCAAAAATTTTGAAAATTTTGAACTGGTCAAAATGCGCGCAAGTAAATTATAATATAACAGAGAAAAACACACACCAAACAAGACATTAGGACCTTAGACGGCTCCTGACTTCTTGGAATTCTCAAGCTTTTTCTTCCTCTCTTCCAAAAGAGCAACTTTATCCTTGCGCCGTTTCTTGCCAATCTGAACAGCAAGGGGAAAAGACAGCAAAGGATTATGCATCTTTTCCTTGAAATGATTTGTGTAGACAAACAGCTCTTTGTATGGAGTGATTTATATGTGATTGCAATGAGTTACTTAATCCGGAGTAGAAACTAGTGTGCTACTAAACAGACTAAAATACCCATTCTACAGCATCCTCTAAGGTTCATCATCTGTCGCTTAAAGGATAATTTAGTCAATTCCACACAATTTATTAGCCCTTACAGTAAATTTAGTAATGTTGAAGGAAAAATACTTCTTTAACCCCAGGGATAATGTTGAAGTTAACACAGCCAGAGGCAACCACACATGACTGTCTGTAAGTGAAACACTTACAGTGTCATCCTAGGTGGCATCAGCGGTTTGACTGTAGCAATGTAGCATGACCCAATATTTAAACCCACAACATTGAAAATTGATTCAGGAACATGACCCCCTTTTCAAGAGGTCAAGTAATTTTTCAAATAAACACAGAATCTCAGACTATTTTTCTTCCCGAAAAAGTTTTTTGTTGCCAAAAATAGGAAAATCTGATGCCATTCTCTGGAGAAAAAATCCATCAATCAAACAAAGAAGATCAATAGAGTTACCTCTGCAGCCTCCAAGATTTTCCTCTTCTTGCGTGTCATCCCCATCTTAATCATGTTATCATCATCCTTAGCAAATTGTTCCAAATCAAGAACTGGTTCATGATTGGCATTATTATCCTCCGAAACGGCCTTTTCCTCAGTTGAAATTGTTGAAGGTTGAGAATCTTGAAGCTCTCTTTTTAATTCTTCATGAAACTGTTTCTCTAGTGCAGACATCTACATTTCACAGCAAGAACAATAAGGGTGGGTTACTACTTTTTTATGGTCGTGCATGTTTCATATACACTTTTCAGATTACAAAGATATACCTTTAGCTTTTTTTGAGCAGCTTCAATGGCTTCTGCACGGTCAGCAATACCATCAACTAGTAGATTCTTTGGATCGTCCAAATCATCTATGTCGACACCCGGCATTGGGAGAACTACTTTTTTGGCAGCAGCCTGTAACCGTTTGATGGTCTCAGCATATTCAGGGACGTAGCCCTCTGCCTCATTGTCCACAAAAGGAGACAAGTGCGGAGGAGGAACCCTGTTGAAATATATGAAATTAAGTACTCTGTAACAATAAATCTCTTTACAAACCTCCTTTTAACCCTGTTTTTCGAATTAAAACATATTTTGTTTTGCAACTGGTGATTCCAGGCATGTGGGTGAATACGAAAATGTTTCAAAAAAGTATGGCTTGTAACAATCTATTCTGGTGCATTCGACGAAAGTCAGAAGGGTACGCGCTGATTTTTTTTATCCCCGTGGATCTTGTGATTGCCAAAGCTGGTGCGGTAGTTGTGATATTTTGGCATGGGACAAGTTTTATTTAGTTTTCTTTGGATGTTAAATGCTATTGGTTGGGTCAAATTTTTTTGGCATTGGAAACATATTACACAATACTGAAAATGACAGAAATAAAAAAATTGCATGATCAACCTGCCAAATATGAAGTCAAACCCTTATAGAACGCATTAAAAATCCAAACCGAAATGGGTGTGGCAATTCATAGAATGGTACGTAGGGACAAATCAAGCTTTTGCTCATTTTTTGTTGATCCATTATGGAAAAGAATCAAGTAACAAAAACCCGTGGAGAAAACAAGCCAAAAAATCTGCATACCTTCCGACAAAGTAATCCTCAGTTGGCAATATGATGCGAGCATTTATGCAATCAAAAACCCACTGGGGCTGAACATATTCACGAGAAAGAAATCTCCTTCCCTGTGTTGGCCGGTCAACAATCTGCAACAAAATATTATATTTGAGAAACAATTTCAACAGTGAACTTAAATAGGCTAAAACTATTTTTATTTCATGGCAGACCTGATGAGTAATACTCTGGTCAGATTCATTGAACGGGGCTCCTTCCCCCTCCCACGAGACAACACCACCAAATGCAGGGATGATAAATAGCAGGGACTCCCTAGGAACCTGACCATAAGTAGAAAGATTGAATAAATTCAATTGCAGAGAAGAAACAAGGGACAACAAAATTTAAGACTTTTTTATGTAGCTATACTATGCACTTATACAGTACATCTTGACAACTAACAAAATGAGTTGGGTAATTTTTAATCACTCCCCACCTCACGACTTAAGAACAATTTCAGTCCCTTAAAAAGGGTCTTGCATTCCTTTGTTTCGGCATCATCCTCATCACTTCTTGCAGCCTCTTCAACAAGGTGCATTAAAGCACCTGGTTCATTTGAAGGAAGCTGGTGTTGAAGCTGTGCAAGCCTCAATTCAGACTCCTCAACAGCTCCTTGCTGATCTCCACTCTGTCCAGACTCGGGCAGATCAGTGACTTCAGACTTCATAATTGATGCTCTAGAATCAATAACCCTTGACAATGCATAGAGATCTGTAAAAATTTATTAGTAAGTTTGATAAGATTCATATTTTAATCAAAACACATTGCCAAGTTAAGCAATATATAAGTGACTAAGAATAAAAAGAATATACCAGCAGCTAAAGCTTCCAGCCGTGCATCAAGAATGGGAGGATATTTCACATTTATTGAATGATAAAGCTGAAAATTGACGAAACCGAGGAGGGTCTGCATTACAATAACAGGGCTGTTATCAGAATGCCTAGAATTGGGATGCTTAGGCACCACAGCAATTTCCAGAGTACTGTTCATAACACATGTCATTTTTATTAACCACAGTTCACATTTCCACTGAGTATGCAATTCTCCATCATTCCAAAGCACCAGTGATTCCTATAGTTCTAGTGAAGCATTTCAGGTATCAAACAATTGATCGAGATTCAAACCTCATAAAACTCCAAGAATGTCAGCATGATTTTGTAATCAACATCAACAGGTAGTACTTGCTGCAGTGCATGAGGTGTTAACCATGTGACTTTTTGTCCCTCAACCTCAGCCTAAAACAGTCAGTAGAGCAATGAAAATCATAGCTGAACTCAACGAAATAGATAACCAAAAACTTTAAGTGTCAAGAACCAGGATACCTGATAGTATATTCCTTTGACAGATATAAATGTTTTTCGCAGTTTGTATGTACGAGAAATATAAGCCTGCCACTCATGACTCAACCTAACACATCATAAAAGGCACAAAATTAATTAGTTGTACCTTGTACCATGTAGTTGAAAGGAAAGGGACAGATATGCTATACAGAATAATAGAAATGTTTGCACACAAGGATCAGTAGATGACCTTCGACAGTTGTGAATGCGGCTTACAGGAATATTTTCTCTTTCTACAGCAGGCAATGCAGCAAAGAGATGCACCATGCTCAAACAGTCATCCAGATCCCTCAACGCATCAATGAATTTAGGATACCTGCATGTCCATCATGATGAGCAGTTCAGCCAAATTACTGCATTAATATAGTAGAACAGATTTGCCACAACAATGAAAATGCCCAACCTCTCCCGGATAAGCATATCCAATGTATAGGTAGGTTTCCTGCTCAGTAGACGTTCAGCAAGATCCTTGTTCTTTTTTGACTCGGCCTTCTTTACTTTCTTCTCATAAGCACGAATTTCTCTGAACTTCCCAAGTAGTGGCTCATATTTAAGGAACATGATATCTTTCACGTGATAATAGGTCTGATGATTACCCTTCACCTTCTTTTTGGGTTCTCTTGGAAATACACCCTTGAGGATGCATAGTTTCCTATAAAAATATAATCAAAGGTAAGTGCCAGTAATTTTGAGCACACAAAATCTTGAAATGCTAACAGAACCATACTGGGCCCAAGTAACAAGCACGAGCAGAAAATAAAACGTAGGTGCTAAATTACGAACTTCATAGCAATCAGTATAACAACAAACCCAGTACAATCCCAACTCAATTAGGGCCTCAAGATTCAAATTCACGTAACCTTACGCTTGTACAAAATAGAGAGGCTGTTTCCATAAGACCGTTGATGCATTACTGCATTCACTACCCATAACTTCATCGAAAGTAAGAAACAACGTGAGTTATGTACCGATTCGATTTGGTCCAATATATACACAAAGCTAAAACGCAGCCAATAATGAATCATTTAGCCCCATGACCCTATTGGTAATAGAAATCTTCATGGTATTAAGTACAGAAGAAATCCTAAAGGCACTAATTATACAAATCAGTAAAAATGAACTGATAACAAAGGTAAGTTGAGAACCTGAACATTGATATACTGACTTGTAGATACTTCACTGCTTGCGATCTAGTCATGTATCGGGCTGCATTTCCTTCCTTTTTCTTACCCTGGAACATAATAAACAATACAATGGTCAAATTGATGATCGCCAATTAGTTTCAGACAAAGCACAAAACAGAAGAGGGATCCTTAAAAATTCAACTTACCGCGGGTCTGAAATGCTTCGGCATGGTTGCGGAGTAATTTTAGTTCAAGCAGATGGGCAATACCAATGAACAACTCAAGCGAACCTCTGCCAGGTTACTAATCTTGTTAATGTAGATAATAATGCAGTTTTTGGGACAAATTTCCCAGAAATTAACTTGCTACAGCAATGTTCAAAATGACAATGAGGGATACGCCACAGTGCTCGCCTCATGTCTATTTCCAAAGAAAAACGCCTTGTGGCGATCCAGCCAAAAGCCATATGGGTTTCTCAACAATGGCGCAAGAAGGCTACACGATGAGGCGTACACAATGAGGCAAAAGGAGGAGTACACCATTTTTAAAAAAAAATCAGATCAAGTTTATATCAGTAATTAGGTAATTTAATTAGAAAATTTAAACGCTATATTAAATAACCATCGTTTATCCACGTATCCAATCTCCTCTTCGGTCTTACATGTTCATCTATGTGTTCTTCATCCCTCATCGGCAGTCTTCACGTCCTCTTTGGTCTCCCCTTCTTTTATTTGTTTTTATTTATATACATTTGTTTAATGATAACATTTTATTTTCACTAATTTGCTATTAACTCATTGCTTTGAGTTTTTATTGTTACAAATTTGGCATTAAAACTTGAAAATTTTATGTTCATAATTTTTAGTTTTATGACTTTATCCTTTAAGCAAATCAGATAGCGCAATTATGGGGCCTAGCATTCGACAATTTAAGTTTGTTGCCTACGACCAATATTTGGTACTATGTCATGGTAGACTTTGTTGCCTTCAAAAAGTTTAACTATAACAATTTATTTCTTTAATGTGTATGGATTAATTATGCTATTATTCTATTTATAATGTTCTACCTTTAATTTCAATGATATTTTATGCACATCTTACTATCTTAGTACTTTAATATCAGGCTTATGGCTCAATATGCCCCAAGGCTTAAGCAATATGCCATAGGAATTAAAATGCCTCAAAGCTGCAACATGCCATTTAAACATTGTGCTACAGTTATATCACTTATGATTGTGGAAATTGTGGAGCATTAAATCCTAGTGGACCATGTAAACAAACATGCAATAATTTTTCCATAACTTAGCAAATCAATTTTCTATAATAACTGGGCCGGTCCTTAGAATTCAACCGCCTGGGCCGAGATTAAAAAAAGACCCTAAATATCTTGTCCCTAAAAGTGTAACAAATTAACATATGTAAACTAATTATATATAAATGATAATTAACGTAATATTATTAGAAGAAAATAAATAAATGACCAAAGCATTTCTTATCCAGCTTGAGACTTTCTCAATCTTCATCAAGCTTTCTCTTTTTATGTTTTTGACTACCGAATAGATGTTTAGGACACATAGCTATTGATTTTTTCTTTTCTGAAATAAAATTCAAATTAATAAATTTTACTACTTAGTAAAAGCAAATATGGAAAAGAAAAAAAAATAAATTCATATATCATAAACTCGTATCAATTGATTCAATTCATCATTTTTTCAGTTTTTTTCTTTTTCTGTTTTCTGTCTTTTTATATATATCTTAAATTCATGTCAATTTGTCAGTTTTTTAGTTTGTTTTAGTTTTTCAGTTTTTAGTTTTTTATATATATCATAAATTCAAATCAATTCATCCAAATCAAATAAAGAATATATGGAACCATTAATTCATTCATATTTCATAGCAATTATCAAAGATTTCAAACTAAAAATAAATAATTAACCCTAGATTTTAAATCCATAGAATGAAACAATGAAAGAAAGAAAATTAGAAAAAAAATTACTAAATTGGAAAGATAGTGAATACGAAATACCTGGAGGGTGCAACGGCGTCTCTCTACCGGCGGCGTTCTCAGCAGTCGGCACTCTCTTTCCGATTCGGTTTCGGCAGTAGGCTTCTTCAGCTTCTGCGCCTCTGCGGTTTAGGTTTGCGTTAGTTAGTCTACGAAGTAGGAAGGGGTTAGGCGGCTAATGAGATGGGCTTTTAACATATTGGGCTTCTTATATACCGAGTACATAAGTATTTCTACCCGTGCCACGCAGGGATCAGACGAAATTTTTTTCGATCCTAAAATTTTTAAAATGAATTGATTTTTATGGGGGATATTATTTAAACATCAAATATAAATGATCTAAATTTGATGTATTTCTACAAATCTATACTTTTTCTCCTTGTATAAATTCAAAAATATATTAATATAAAAAGTATTAGTGATCCAATGATTATTTTTCCTCACGTTAATTTAAAAAACCTAAATTACCGACTTTATTTTTATATGATTAAAAAATAGGATTCTTCTCATCCATAATTCCAATTATCCCCCTCCGCAATGATTATAAAAAATTATTATTATTTCCTGCAATATTAAAAAACAAAATCTTAAATTAGTGATCTTAAATCTCTATTGTTAAAATTTTTAATTTTAAAATATTAAGATCAATTATTCTTCTCTCCCGTATTGATTTTAAAAAAACATTAAAATGTTAGTGCTCCAATGATATTGTCGGGATAGAATTCTTGTTAAGATATAAAATGTTCTATCAAAACACAAATAATTACAAATTGGAAATTGTACTTTTTTGATGTGGTTGTAACTTATAACTTAGTTTCAAACTTATTAGTTATTGCACCTTGGTTTTCTACACAAGTTTTTTTAACTTTTTTTATTATTCTAGATCTTCATTGTCACATATCTTCTCACGCTTTTCTCTACACATTGATCTTCTTTATCGCAATCTTCTTTGCATAAATCTGTGTCGTCTCATAGAATATCATCTTATTAAGTTTCTATATACAATTGCATAAATGAAAACGTTGAAAAGTAAGTCCTCTCTCATTCAAAATTTCTTAATTTTATGTATAAACATTTTGAATTGTAATACAATATAAGTATGTACTGAATAAATCATAAGTAACAATATAAAGTTATTTTGATTAAAATTAGTAAATCAAGTTACCAAGATAAAGTATAAAAGTCTTACTAAATCTTGTTTCTAATTTATTTATTTTAAATATTCAATATTTTAAAAATAGTCAAATTTTACAGAAATACTTTTACTTCGTTTCACAGTAAGTCATCTTACTATGAACAAAAAGTCTATGTAAGATATGCATTGACTCAACCTCATAATATACGTATAATCTATTTGTCTAAAAGTAAAGTACATAATCTTGAAACGTACAATTCCCTTAGAAAATATAGTTTTAAGTACTTAAGTCACCTAATTATAAATTATAAATTTCTCTGAGTAATCTCAAAATAGTCTTTTCGAATAAGGTATTTCTTAAATTAGTGTTATCAAACATTAATTATCTATGTAGTATTTTATAGTTGAGATTTATTCATCCAGTGTCTTCTGTATGTAATGTGTATGTTTGGTGGAGGAAATTTTGGTATTTTCAACATTTAAAAGTAGAATAAATTTTCAAAATGACCCTTTCGGATTAACCTTTTTCCAACTTAGTTCTGCGTGATAATACTTATAATTTTATCTCAATTGTGCAGTTAGGGGTACCCCAATATTTTGTGTCCCTCTATTAGTCACTCGTGTTCACGCTGATAAATTTCAAAAGAAGACAACCTTGCCTCCGATTCCCACTTCATATCTATGTAGAAATTTGATAAAATTCACGTATGAAAAATATTTGATTTGTTTTTTTTAAATATTATTTTGTTGTATACATCTCATGCGAATATTTTTGTGTGCTTTTCTAAAAGTAGTACTTGTAGCTTCAATGATGTCAAGAGTGAAATGCCTATGAGTATTTTAAAATATTTTTGTAAATTTTCTTTGTGAAAACCCTTGCAACTATATTTGTAAATTTCTCATTTGTTTTTGCTGTTTAAAAATAAATTCATATCGAGTGCTAAAATTTTCGGATGTAAAATACGTGTGATTATTTTTACGTGATAATTTTTCAAAAATTTATGTGAAAAATGTTACTTTCTCTTACTTTTTTGAAAATAGATTCGCTTGACAATTCAAACAAAACTCAACTGTAAAATAAATGTGATTGTTTTAAATTTTTACAAAGATAAGTTTTTTATCCATTTATTTTGTATGAAATTATTTGATATTTTACAAATTGAAATATAAAGATTTTTAATAGTTTTTTACTATATATTTTAACAAATCTCATGGGTTAAACGTTTTATTCAAAAAATGAACTGGAAGGTTCACAAATGGAGTTACTAACTCTTGGGATAAACCCTATGAAACTCACGAAAAAATATATCCCGTATTAATTTTGTCACTATGAATTCTTTCTTCATCTTGAATTTTTTTGTTAGACACGAAAAACATTTTGCTAGTCACAAATGTAAATTTGAAATTTTAAGAAAAAGAGTATTATTTTGATTATAAATAAGTTAGAAAAATAAATCTTAAATTTCACTGATTATTTTAAAAGCTGATTTTAAAATTTTATACTATTATTTTAATTATTTTAAAAGTTGATTTTATAAAATTTGTAATCAAAAATATGAATTTTTAGTTTTCACTCAATTGCATAAAATTTCATGTAGGTTCTAAAGTACATTTTTCTTTCTTGATGATGATTTAAAACAAGTTATAGAGAGTATTGGCTCTTAGAACGAGGATACTCAAATCTTAAGTGTGGAGTTGTTCTAAGTTTGTTTTAGATAGTATCTTTTTTTATATTTTTTTAGGTATTCATATCGTATTAGTACATAATATTTATTTGTTTAGATTAGTTTTATTTTATTTTTTATTTTTGCATTCTTATTATTTTCTTTCTTAATTTAGTAATATTTTAATCAATTGTTATACTTTATTATTTTCTTTACTATGTTTTTCCTAACCAAAACTACCTTAGTACCTTACCTTAAACTCCCTCCGTAAACACCATAAAGTTTCTATTTTGGATAGTATTTAGTCAAATATTTACACGCTTTAACTACAAATTGTGAGAAATGTATATTGATTTATAAAATAAATTGAATATAATTGGATTCATCTTAGGATCTAGTTTTGATATCTCAATTTTTTTTAGCATTTCTTTATTTAGATTATATTTAATTTATGGTCAAAGTAAGTAACTATTTGACCAATTTATAGTCAAAAAGGGAATTTTTTTGTAAGACAGAAAGAGTATCTTTTTTTGAGAAAAGGCTAGTGGAAGGTGAAATGAGCTCAAATTTTTAAAGAACAGATTGAGTTTGGGCTGGAGCCCAAACACATCATCAAGAGAACAAGCCCTGTTTTTAGCGCCTCAAGAAGTTGAATTGCAGTCCATTTCTCATCATCTACTTCTTCGTTTGGACCAGTCAAGAAGTCCATCGCCCAATGGCCAATAATACCTATCCAAAAAGTTTTACTCCGTATTTGATTTGAATTTTTTAAAAAGAAAATACTCCAACGTGCAAAATAAGTTATCTATTTACTATTTATATAATTAATTTTATTTCCTTATTTTCGTTAGTTATTTGATTAAATAATATAGTTATATCACCGCTTGTTTCGTAGAAATTTCGATGTACTTTTTTAAATATGTAAATGTTATTTTTTAATTTCGCCTCAATTTTCAAATAAATTGTCTTCAAAATAATTTTATACAAACATCGTAAAACGAAACATGAAATTTAAATCGGGACAGAGAATATAATTTTTTGGGCGACATATGAAATGCAAATAAAGTTTGCATGTAGGCGTTGCGTTCTTGGCAAAACAAGGGGTGCTTATATTAGTACTTAATGCCTAGATCTGATTTCTGACAACTGCGTCTGCAAGTACCAGGTGAAAGCTCTAGTCTTTACTATCAACATGTGATCAAAGTCTAATTTATCTTCTCCTAGTGACCATCCGATAGTGTCGGAGGAGACCCTCGAAGATGGGGTTCATCCTCGATAAATTAAAAAGTTTTATTTGAAATTTAAAAAAGATTTCATCAAGTATATTCTAAAAATACTACAAGACTTTTAATTACATGGGAGGCTTAAAAGGAGTATGGACCAAGAATCCTTTCAAAAACCGGCATTGACATGAATAAAGGAATTGGAGTCTTTTTCTACAAAAGAATATAATGGGGAAAGTCTAGAGTCAAGGAAAAGTTTTCAACAATTTAAAACTGTAAAGAAAATATTACAAATAAAGTTACCAACATTACTCATCATATCACTACGCCCAAAGGAGTTTTTATACAAACCATTTCTAAAATAATGTCAATATTTTCACACATGAGATTTTAAAGAAATTAGCATTTAAATCTTATACTATAATTTCCTCCATTCTATAAGTTTTTAATTGTTTTGTTTTACATATATTTTTATATAAGTGGATTTGTATGATAGAAATTTATGCGAATGATCAAGCATATTATCCGTATCTGGATGATCACAAATCGATATACAACTGAACAACATAATTAACACTATTATTTTTTTTATAGTCGTTAACACTATTATTAATTAGGAGAAAATACCTAATTAAGACTAAATTAACATGTCTCATATATATACCAAAATAAAACCTTCAATATTTTTATACTAGAATATATTTTTTCTAAAACCCAAATGCACACTATAAATTCACATGCACCTCAACAAAGTTTGATTCAAAAACCAGAAATCAGACCATTCTACTTTTATACTCTATGAAACATTTACTATGAACTAATTAAAATAATAATGTCAAAACACAATGTTAAAAAATATTATGAAATGTCAATATAAAATACCAAATTGAGGGCCTTTCACGGGGTATAAAAAAATACTCCATCCGTTCCACAAAACCATTCCCATTTTGACTTTGGACAAAAATAGAGAAAGTGTAGTTTTGGTTGACTTTCAAATTTTACCCCTGATGTGATGAGAAAAAGTAAGATGTGATAGTTTGGTTATTAGTGAAAAAGTATGATGTGATAGGTGTAGGGTATGAAAAAGTAGAGGTAAAATTGATTTTTTAATAGAAAGTGGAAGTGTTTTGTCGCAAAAAAACGAAAGGTGAAGGGTTTTGTAGAACGGAAGGAGCAGGGGCGGAGGAGAGGGGGGCATGCCTGGGCAACTGCCCCCGGCGGAATTCCGGCGAAATAGCATTAGCCGATCGAAGAAGAGGATAGGAAGAAGCAATTGCCGATGAAAAAGAAGATAACAAAACGACTTCGTTTTGTTAAATTTAAATGGGTTTAAAAATTTCCTGTGACCAAGCCCAACAGTCCAATGCCCAATAGCCCAATTGTCCAAAAACTAAAAAAAATGGAGGATGGAAGTATACGAACTAAAAAAATAGGGAGGCTTATTCGTAGAAGGCGTCAGGCTCCCATCTCCAGAGATTGACGAACAGACGCAGTCGGCAGAACTCCAGAAGGCAGAAGGCTAAAGGCAGACGAATCTATTTTTTTCCCGTGCTTCTTCATATCTTTAGATCTTCTCTCATTATCAAGGTATTGTATGTAAATTTTAATTATTCTATTTCGAGATTTATTTCTTAATATTTGAATGTTTTGAATATTGCTAAAATATGTTTTGAATTTTAAATATTTATTTTGTTCCGAGGTTCCAGTGTGTTTTTTGATATTTAAATATTTGATAAATGTTAATGTAATTTCAAGTTCTAGAGATTAAGATATATGAAATTGTTGTTTAAGGGTTATTGATATTTTATTTTGTTACTTTATTATTGAATCAGAAAATTTTGAGATGTAAGATGATAAATTTGTTATTAGATAAAAGAAGAATTTAGAATTTGTAAGTCATAGAGACAATGAAAAAGAAGCTTCTTCTTCTATAAAGAAGGAAAGTGTGGTTTCAAATGATGATATTATTGCTGATCCGGGACTACCAAAGCCAATTAATAATTATCCATTAGAAATTAGAGATGTAATAAGGAGAAGATACTTAGCAAAAGGTCCTTGTAAGCCATCGATGGATAAATTTCCACAAAGTATGAGAGGCAAGAACAAAAGACGATTTCAAAGTTATTGGTTTGTTAAGTTTAAGTGGTTGGAGTATAGTGTCGCCAATGATAGAGCATTTTGTTTGCATTGTTATTTGTTTGCGAATACAAACAAAAATGGATCAAACAAATCTTACTCCTTTACACAAATAGAAGGTATGTTTAGTTGTACTTTGCCAATGAAAATAGTTACTATTCTGAATTTTGTTTATTTATTAAATGAATTTTTGTCCCCCCATGAAGTCTTCCCTGGCTCCGCCACTGGGAAGGAGTATGTCATTTTCTTATAAATAAATGTTACTCCGTAAGTTTTTGTGTTACGTTGCTACATTTATTTATTATTTAAACATTTTCATTAATAGACAATTAGATTTTGGTTCAAATGAAAAAAGCGTACAGTGAAAGAAATGAGAATGTATACGACCCATTAGGTTTAAGATCTAAGAGCTACTCCCTCCGTTCCACAAAACCCTTCCCCTTTCGTTTTTCTTTTTGCTTTTCACAAAACACTTCCACTTTCTATTAAAAAACCACTTTTACCCATACTTTTTCATACCCTACCTATCACATCATACTTTTTCACTAATAACCAAACTATCACATCTTACTTTTTTCCATCACATCAGGGGTAAAATTGGAAAGTCAACCAAAATTACACTTTCCTTATTTTTGCCCAAAGTCAAAATGGGAATGGTTTTGTGGAACAGAGGGAGTATTAAAATAAAAAAAATTAAAAGTGAAAAAATTACAGTGGCAATCTGGTAAATAAATTGAACTTTTAGAAAATACACTATTACAAGTGTAAAATGCATCACAACGGTACGAGAATACACCATTCTCATATTTTCACAGTAAAGATATTCTCACATGAACCAATCCCTAGATAATTAACCCCAATATCTTCCATTAAAAAAAGTTAACCCCCACTATTTGCAATTTGTTTTGTATAGGGTCTGTCGGTAGATATATATATATATATATAGAGCCTATAACTATATCTATATCTAGCTAGCTAACAATAAGATCCATAAAATAGCACTAACCCTTGTCTAATCATTGTTGTTGCCCTAAACCTCCCTATTTATTTTGGCAATTACCTCTTTTGTAATCTTCAACAATAATTCTCCATTGATAATCACCATCATCATCATCTTCTTCTTCTTCTCCATCTTCATCCATGGTTTTCTATCTCATCACACATATTAATCTATAAAGAGTATACGTATAGTAGTATATCTTCTTTATTTTTTCTAAAAAAATAATTTTCTGGATTATTTTGCATGATATATAAATAAGATTAAATCTCAAGCTTTGAATAATATTATTCATTTAAGGTATTATATATATAATTAACTCCAAAGATAGATTAGGTGATACATATATATAGCTCTAGCTAGCTTGGAACCCCACAAACACTAGCAGGACATATATTCAAGAATCATCTCAGAAAGGTATGTACTATATATGTATATAACTGCTATTTTTGTACTTAAAATAATCCCTATATAAAGGTTCAGAAACCCTTGTTTTTTTAATAAATACAGAGTAGAAATATTATTGAGTGATCCAATTATGGTTTATGTTTCATGTTGTGTTCATAGGTTAGATCTCTTCTCTTAATACTCCGTATAATTTGCTTCAATCTAAAGATCCATGATTAGCTGATGGCAGTTTAGATTATTACTCCTTCCGTCCCATAATTTTAATTTTTTCATAGATTGACTTGATATGATTTTTAATATATTAGTAAAAAATTTTGGATTGTAATTTGTGTATAGGAAATAAGATAGAAATAATATTGATCTATCATATGTAGAGAGTACAACTGCTTTTGAAAATTTTAGGAGAAGAATGCATTTCCAAAATTACGAAGATAATTTTGTGACTATGAATATTGTGGACATATGAGATATTATTCATTTATTTAGTTGTTCATTTTCTAAAATACTTCATATTTATGGGGTCACAGTAGCGAAATATTAGAAAGTTTGTTTGGAAAAGTTTATACTCCGTATCATTCATTGGTGTTTAACAATGTTTATACTGCGTATGTTATTTAGACTGTATTTCGAGGCACACAACCAAAATTTGGACAATCTACAATTTGTCATCAATCTGCGATCAAAATCAAATTTATTATATCTCAGTAACCGTTCAGTTGAATCTGAGGGAGTTCTCGAGAACGGGTTTCATCCTTAAAAATGAAAGTGACCTTGGAAATAATGTTTAAAAATACTCTCTCCGTCTCTAAAAGATCTTTCACTTTCATTTTTTTGTTATCCCTAAAAGATGTTCCTTTATCTATTAAAAAACTACTTTTACTCCTTACTTTTTCATACTTTACCTATCACATCATACATTTTTACTAATAATCTACATATCACGTTTATTTTTATCCATCACATCAAGGGTATTTTTGAAAAGTCAACGCAAAAATATCTCTCTCTTAAATTCTCAAAAAGTCAATAAGGGAAGATGTTTTATGGAGAGAGGAAGTATGAAATGAAATGTTAAAGATAAATAGTGAGTTTGTTTCCACGAAATAAATTTGGGGAATCAATCAATCCCCACAAAAGTTAAAAATCATTTCAAACTATTTCTTTTACTATTGTAAACAATTCCCTTCTCACACTCTTAAACTTATCAAAAAGAAGAAAAAAAAACTCTTTGACTCAATTTATTTTAATTTACTGCAAGATTTATTTATGAATACCATAGACCAAAATCTTTCAAGTCTTTATAAAAGCCATAAAATTAATTACCTCCATCCAAACGCAGCCTTTAGAAAAAGTGTAGCTATTTTTGCGGAAGTATGCATGAGGAATGTCGGATATCAACACATATAAAGGCTTAAACTCCGGAATTGGTGTAAGTACTATAAGCGCATGATGCCCTAACCCTACATTACCATATATGCCCACAACATGCCCTACATAATAAACCATGGGGAGACTTATATTCTCACTCCGTCTCGTGAAAATTTTCCAATTTTGACTTTTTAGTGATTTAAGGAAGATATACTTTGGTGTTAATTTGATCTTTAAAAAAAGCCCTTATAGAATTTCTTTTTAAAAGTGATGAGGTTAAGAATAATAATGGGAAAGAACAATTAAAAAGTTTTGACTTTTTAGTGATTTAATGGAGTTGTATTTTGGTGTTTGATTTTCCACAAGTACCCTTAGGGTTTCTTTTTAAAAGTGATGTTTCACACAAAGAATAGTTAAGAATAATGGGAAGGAGTAATTAAAAAATAAAATGTAAGATGGAATGTGACGGATGAGATGTAGGAAAGTATGGTTAAAGAGCTAGGGACATTTTAGTCCATTTTGGAATAATTGAATTGTTTTGTGAGACGTGTAAGATGAGAAAGTTGAAATATTTTGTAGAACGGATGGAGCATTTCTTTGTCTGTCCCAAAATATTTTTTCTCTCATAAGGGTTACCACTTCTCCATTTTTTTTGTTCCAAAATAAATAGTGTATATACTTTTTGTCTTTTTGCATTTCTTTTTAAGTGAAAAATACATTATTTATAATATTAAGTGATTCGATCACAGTAAAAAAATACGTGATTCCTAAACTACAATGTCAAAGCATAATTTAATTGTATTGAGAATAACTATACGGAGTATATATTTAATAGATCCATGTCTATAATCAAGCTTAATTAATTTAATCAATATCCAGCGTAACATTACTTCCTCCGTCCTGGAGTATTCGTCCAGTTTTGACTTTTGGAATTGTTTATCTAAGCACTTTGACTCATCAAATTCTCTCAATGTGTAAGCCTAAATATAGTCATGTGTGATTTGTCTTAACATATAGATTATTAATATATAATTTCTATAATTTTTTAATATACAAATTACAAGATAAAATGGATTAAAGAAGTGTATTGGATGGTGTGTAAAAATGAAAATGGACAAATACTCTGGAACGGATGTAGTAATATACTCCCTCCGTCCCTAAATAAAGTTTCTCTTTCGTTTTTTCTTTGTCCCTAAATAAACTTCTCTTTTCCCTTAAAAAACCCCTTTTACCCCTTATTTTTTCATACCCTACCTATCACATCATACTTTTTTACTAATAATCTAACTATCACATCTTACTTTAACACATCACATCAAGGGTATTTTTGGAAAGTCAACACCAAAATATCCCTCCCTTAAATCCTCAAAAAGTCAAAAATGGAACTTTATTTAGGGACAGAGGGAGTAATACACTAATACAGAGTACATATATAGTCACGACTCGTGAGATGAATTATACTCCGTATTTAATAGGTCTATAATTAAGCTTAATTAATCAACAGTCAACATTTTACTATTTGCAATGAAGAAATGTTGGTATATTATGTTGAGATTGATTCTCCTTATAGAAAACTGGTTATTCAATGTAGAGGTAGTTCTTGTTAGATATATCTCTCAAAATTATAAATTATATTTAAAAAAAACTTAGGGCCTACTCTTTCCTGTTGAAATTTTAAAGTTGAATGTTGAAAGAAACTGAAATAAGTTGGAAGAATCGTGAAGAAGTTAAAAAATACTGGAAGAAGTTAGAAAGTATAGAAAAAGGAAAAGTATTAGAAAAATCATTCAATCGATTGATAAACCCAAAATAAATACATAAAAGAACTAAATTTAGATTAAAAAATTCATCTTTGTCCGTGTTTGAGATGGTAAATTATAAATTTGAATATAGGATGTCATTGTAAATTCATTATACGTAAAAAAGTTTTTTAAGTCGTTGGCCGAAAAAAACTTGAAGAAGTTAGAGAAAGTTGAGAGTTAACTTTTCCAACTAGAACAATAGATCTTGGAAGGAAAAAAACTAAAAGAAAAGTAAAATATTGAAAATATACCAAATAAAATAAGAGTTCTATATATGTTTTTATTCACGGAATATGAGTTAAAATGCATACTATACACAGCTAGTGGTGCTAATTATGACCATATGCATTACCAAAAAGTATCACTGAGTATACAATGTCAATATGCAGTATCATATTATCCTAATACAAACTTCTATTTTAGAAATAAAAACATGAAACTTTCATCTTGACATTTTCTCAATATTTTACTTCTATTTATAATGATTTTTTATCATAATACAATGACATCCCAAAAATACTGCCAAATTAAACACATTGGCAACAGCCTAGTATGTGGTGGTCCAAGAAAAAAAAAGTCACTATACGTTTACTCAATGACTCAATCCTTCAAAGGTAAATTTATTAGTGCCCAGGCCAATATAACAATTTTAAGTAGTTCTGGTTTGACCTATATTATAAAATTAAAATTCTGTGTATTGTATTCCTAGCTACATCAATAGGAATGATAATATATGAAACACATAATTTATTAAAAATTACCCCATATTTATTTGTAATCCATCAAATAAAAAGTACCCCATCGTTCCACAATAATTGTCGTTTAAAATTTATTAGATACATTAAATTTTGAATGGATGTAGGCATAATTAAGTCTACAATCTACATTCATTCAAAATCTAATGTATCTAATAAACCTTAAAAGACAACTTTTGAGAAATGGATGGAGTACTCCATAATTAAATTTTAATTCTATATTGATGTAATTAATTGAGAAATTTACTTAAATAACAATAAAATATAATGACTTTCTCTAAATAGCACCATGTCTTTTTCTTTTTAATGTAGCACTTTTAGTCATTATGCATTAGTCATTATTCAAGTAAATATTTGCCATCACAGGACATTATGGACATTATTAAGTGCTATTTAGAGAATAAAACAATTTAAGTGCTATTTAGGAAAATGACTTAAGTTTTTGTGCTATTTAGTGCAAATATTTCTAATTAATTTTATATTGTGATGAACTAATAAGGAGCATTTTAATGTCTCTTTAATTTGTTGATTCTCAATTATCAGCCAATTCCTTGTAGCAAACCCTGTTGCAACACGTGATTGGATTGTTCATCTATATAGGGAGTATGATTCTACGAAGGACGGATTACATGAATATTTCGTACTCTCTAATATATATTGTACAATCGGTTATACAATATTTCTCGCACATCTAAGGTGAGTACTCATTTATGAGTAATTTAATACTCATTTTCGAGCAACTGAATACTCATTTTCGATACTTAATTTTCTAAAATTTAGTTATGCTCGAAAATGAATATTCGATTTGAAAATGAGTATTCTATTACTTGAAAATGAGTATTCAAGCGGATGTACAGGACACATCATACATCCGGATGTATGGTATATATACTCTAAATATTTAGACTTTAAAAATTATCAAGAGTCATTCTCTTCATAAATAAATTAAATTTTACACTTTTCATTAATGTCTAAGAATCAATTTTATACGGAGTATTTTTCAACTTTTCTTTTAAGAAAGTACGGAGTATATATGTAGACAAATTTTATTTGTCTTTTAACTTTTTCCAAATAAATTTTAACCACATACATTAACTTTTCTACCAATTATTTAAATTTTCAGTTTTCATATTTTTTTAAAACCCAGTGATATAATTGTAGTTCTTTCAAATTATCAAATAGAAAGTCTATAGTAAAAAGTACTGAAAATATATTGTGGAGTTATCTTTGTAGATATTTTGCAAAAGATTGAGAACTTGTCCTAGTTTCCATTGTTCGATCCAGTTTCCAAGACCCCAGCCCGTTTAGTTTGGCATCGGATCTCTAAGTTCTGGTTCATGAAAAATCAAATTTAGCATGAAAAAACTAGTTCAATCAAATGTGAAAAAATGAAATTTAGCATGAACTTTAAAACTAAAATATCCCCCCAAAGCAAAGTAGAGTAAAATATTTTTCAATAAATCAGCTCAATCATAAGCAAGTTTGTAGTTGTAGACTCAAAAAAAAAATTATGTTCTAACACGCTCTCACGTAGGGGCGAGATTTAATTTACTTTTGCTTGAACCTTGCACATGAAGATTAATTTTTTTAAACTGGTAGATCGACCACATAGGCTATTCGATCACTTCCTAATATACGAAGATTGATGGAAGAGTATAGGGTTAAGAAGAAGGATATTCATAGTGTTTATTGACCTCAGCAAGGCGTACGACCATTTGCCGAGAGAGGTCTTGTGTAGGTGTCTTGAGTCGGGAGGGGTTCCTATCACATACATTCGTGCTGTCAAGGATATGTACGACGGGACAAGGAGTAGGACAAAGACTGCCGGAGTGACTATGAGCCAATCTATGTATATATAGGTGGGATTACACCAGGGGTCTACCCTGAGCCCCTTCCTGTTTGCTATCGTGATGAACGTCTTGTCGTAGGGAGTTCAAGGGGAGGTTCACTGGTGCATGTTATTTAGTGACGATATTGTGTTGAATGACGATACATTTGAGAGACTAAATGACAAGCTTGAGCTTTGGCACATCGCCTTGGAATCTTAAGGCTTGGAGACTAAGTTAGGATTAACTCCCCCCTCGTGCTCAAGGTTGACAAGTTTCGGACTTTCGGTATCTTGGATCAGTCATTCAAGCTGAACGGGGGTAAGATATAGATGTTACACATCGTGTTGAAGCTGTTTGGGAAAAATTGAGGTTGGCTTCAGGGGTTTTGTGCGATAAGAAGATTCTAGCTTCGATGAAATAATGTAAGTTTTATCGGGCTGTAGTCAAAGTAGTTATATATGTTAAATGATGCAGAGTGTTAATTGGACATTTTGGAAGATCCACGGTTGTCGGCTAAACGTTTTAGAGATGCAAATGTTGTTGTGTATGTGTGGAAAGACGAGGTTAGATAAGATTCAGAACGAGATTGTCCGAGGACAATGAGAGTGATGATACCGTGTGAGGATAAGTTATGGGAAGCTAAATTGAGGTGGGTTGGGATTGTGATACGTCAGAGTGTTGATGCATAATGCGTAGGTGTGAGAGGCTCACGGTGGTGGGTGAGGGCAGGATTAGGGGGAGACCTAGAAAGAATTGAAAGAATGTGATCAGAGAGAAGCTAATACTTTTGACCTTTATCGAGGATATGACCTTAGATATAAACTTTTAATTTAGAGAACGAAGATTAGGGTAGTTGGATAGACATCTTTGATTGGATTGTACATTTCTCACTTTTTGCTTTGTGCTTTCTACTTGATATACCTTTCTCTCATTAATATTATTTGTCATGGCTTTTTGTGCTTGTCTTTCCTCTGATGTATGTATCTTAATGTGTCTTCACTAAGTTTTTGCTACATGTGTTACTTGCACCGGGGTTCTCTAGGGAATAAGCTCTCTACTTTTGGGTAGGGGTAATGTATACGCACACTTTCCCCATACGTATGCCCTAAACTTGTGGAATTCAACTGGATTATTATTCTAGTTGGTGTTGAAACTTGGATGCCGACAATGTTCGAATTCGTGACCTTTTTTAGTCAATAAAATTCTGATATCATGTCAAGAAAAATGTACCTATTTTTAAAAAATTATATTCATGATCGACTTTGACATTTCGACACATATACATTCAGCCCACAAGATACAAAATATATGTACATGCCTTCATCATCATCAGCTTCCAACTATTCAAGCCCGCCATGCGCGGCCTGCAAGCTACTGAGGCGAAAATGCACCCCAGACTGCATTTTCGCCTCGTACTTTCCACCAGAGGAGCCCCAGAAGTTCGCCAACGTCCACAAGATCTTTGGCGCCAGCAACGTCGGCAAGCTCCTGAACGACATCCCGCCTCACCAGAGGCAGGACGCCGTCAACTCCCTCGCTTACGAGGCGGAGGCGCGGGCCCGGGACCCGGTCTACGGGTGCGTGGGGGCCATCTCCATGCTCCAGCGACAAGTGCTCCTCCTCCAGAAAGAGCTCGACGAAGCCAACGCCGACATCATGCGGTACACCACCGCCTCCGCCGGCGGCCGGGCCCACCTGCCGCCTGCCGGAGTAATGGGAGTTCTCAACCAACCAAATGCTGCCGCGCAACCGCCGGCTTTTGATCACCGCCGGGACAGGGGGTCTCACGCCGGCGGCGTTCAGGACGTGAATAATAACCGTCAAACTTATGGGATGCCTTCATTTCCGGCCGTTGACCACTCGTTGTCTTCGTTCGATCACTCCGAGGTGGTTGATGATGACATATAATATGTGTAATGCGTATAATTTATAATCAAATTTGTAATGGAAAAGATCAAAGAATCATATATACATATATATATGTGTGTATATCGATACACAAGTATATATAAGAAAGCTCTCTATATATAGATCGAGCAAATACATATATTATGTGCGCATATATGATGTATGCATATGAATATACGCATGTATATACACACAAATATTCATTATACTAATATTTTAGATCATGCCATGTACGTGATGAGATGAAATTGTTTCTGATTCTACAATGTGAATTATTAAAATGACTTGACTTTTTCTATAAGGTATATAATTTAAACATCAAATATAAATGGTCTAAGTTTACTACATTTTTTAAAATTTATAATTCTTTTCCCCATATAAATTCAAAAAAAAATCAATACAAAGTTAACCTATAATTCTTTCCTCCTCCACTAGTTTTGAAATATGTGTGTTGGACAATGTGCTATCATGAATATATATTTTTGCAATCTCCTTTGCCTATTGTCTTTTAGGTTTTGATAATGACAAAAGGGTGACAAAACATCATCATCATTTTGTGCATCAAGGCTAAGAATCAAAGCTACAACAAGTTCATATCCGTCCGTGAAAAATGGACTTGAGCATCGGTGGAAGGAACGAGACCGAAGAGGTTGTTTCCTTAGTTGGGTAGTGTTTTAGGTCTTAGATTATGTGTTAAAGAGTATGGCATCTCTAAGGTTCATTCCCTTATCATCCTACCTTTAAAACACATTTTTTTTTCAGCAAACTATTCGAATAAGTTGAAAACTATTCGAATAAATCCCTGAACTTCTATTCTGACTTAGTTGAATAAATCCAGAACTAGTTGAATAAATCAGATTGCAGTTTCACCAAAACTAGTCGACTAAGTCTTGACTTAGTCGAATAGTTCGACAGATTCAACTACCAAACGGCTAGTTTTTTTGAATGCTTTTCATCCCTATCCACTCCCTAACTTCTATAAACTACCCTATCTCGTGTTTTTGGCCAAGAATATACATTAGAAACACTTCAAGAACATATCCTTTGAATATCCAAAGAGATTCTACTCAATCCCCTCCTTATATCCAAGCAAGGCAATTGTTTTGATTGCTAAATCATTTCTTGCTTGAGTTTTTTCCTCATTGCTTGAGTCTTTGAGAGATATTGCCATTTCTAAAGGACTTCATTGTATTTGCAACAATCTACTCCGTGTTGGGAGAATTACTCGGTTGCGGTTTGTTTTCTTACTTTATTGTAAGGGATTTGTATTCTTGGTGTTGGGATTACACCAAGTGGTAGAAATCCTAATGGTTTGTTAAATCAAACGTTAGGTGGAAGAAATCCTGAGTTTTGTGAAATCAAAACTTCGGTGGTAAGATAAGAGGCTTGTGAAATCAAGTTCTCGAGTTGTATTCGGATTGTCAAACTCTGTTAAGTTTGACGGGTTAGTGAAGGCCTGGGCACGATTGCTTCGGGGACTGGATGTAGGCATTTAGGCCGAACCAGTATATATCGTGTGTGCATTGCTCTTATCCTTCACTTTTTTTTTTGTTTGTGGTGCATTGTTTTTATTGATATTCGTGAAGAACGTTTCCGCGAAAAAAAACTGGTCTTTTGGGCAACACCTCTATTCACCCCCCCTCTAGAGGTGTGCGAGGCGTCTAACAAGTGGTATCAGAGAGAGGGATTTTCAAAGCTTTACCGCTGAAAATTTAAAAAGATCATGGCTGGAAGAACATTTCAACCCGGAGTTGCCGAAGGACAATCCACGACAAGGCCACCACTCTTCGATGGTACAAATTATGCTTATTGGAAAGAGAGGATGAGAATATTCATCCAATCAAATAATTATGATTCTTGGTTGGTGATCAAGCATGGAGAGACGGTTCCCACGAAGATTGTTGACGGGTTTCTTGTTCCAAAGTTAGAAACCGAATATACCTCAAATGACAAGAAGAAGATGCAACTAAATGCAAGGGCCATCAACTTTCTATATTGTGCCGTGAACCCGGATGACTATCGAAAAATCTCAAGGTGCAAGACGGCCAATGAGATGTGGAGCAAATTAGAGGTCACATATGAAGGAACAAGTCAAGTGAAGGACTCAAAGATCGACTTACTCGCCCATGAGTATGAGCTTTTCATGATGATGGAAAATGAAACAATAGATGGCATGTTCGAGAGATTTTCAACTATCGTCTCAAATTTGGATACACTTGGGAAGCATTATGAGGATCATGTTCTCGTTCGAAAAATCCTTCGAAGTCTCACACCAGAATGGAAGTCTATGGTCAACCCTATCAAAGAAGGCCGAGATTACAATACATTGACATATGACGCACTTCGAGGTAAACTACTCACTTATGAAATGTCTAACTTTTCTAGTGCAGCGGAGATCAAAAGGGATCAAAATCTATCATTCAAAGGAGTTGCACTCAAAGCTTCATCGTCAAAATATATCGAAACAAGCGGCTCTAGAGAAAGTGACATTCTCGAGTTATTTAATGACTTCTTGAAAAATGAGCTTGAGCAATTGAATGAGAGTACAAAGCCTACTTGCTATGGATGTGGAGAGCGTGGACATATCAAGGGTCATTGCCCTAATCGAAAATTCAAGAAGTCCAAACACCGAAAGCAATCCAACTCTAGCTCCTCTTCCTCATCCGATGATGAAGTAGCCATTTGTCTTATGGCTCAAAGTGAATCCGAAGAGGTAAGTTCTTCTAACGATCCTTTTAGTTTTGAAGAACTACAAGAAGCATTTGGTGATTTATTTAAAGAATTTAAGAAAGTCTCATCTATTGCCAAAGATTTGGAATATAAAATCACCCTTTTGCAAAAGAAAAATAATATTTTGCAAAAAGAAATTGATTCCCTCAAAATTGAAAATAAGACTTTTGAGGAGACTAATTTGAAATTAAATGATTCACCATGTTCTTCATGTAAGTCTTCTAGTCTTGAGATAGAAGCGCTTAAGAAAGAGGTAGACAATTTGAAATTAGCTATGAAGAAAGTTGAAAATGAATTTAGACTAAAATCTACCTCTAGGATTAAATACTATAGATCACCTAGAAATAAACTAAGTCATTCTAAGAATTCTAAGTTTGATAGACAACCTAGAAAGCACATCACACGTCCTAGAAATATGAACAACCCTTGTGTTAGGTGTCATTATTGTAATAAAGTAGGACACATCACACCCGTTTGTTACACTAAGTATAGGCACTTGCTTCTAAGTCAAGATAATGTGATGCATCGTTCATATGATTTTTATTATTGCCATAACACCCCTGGACCCAAAAGGCATTGGGTACCAAGATTTTCTTCGTAGATTCATTAAGGAAGGTGTGCTTGAACACTTCGACTTGAGTTGAAGTAGATGCACCAAGCACATAATTGGGTGAAGCATCAATTAAGGGGGAAGTTGATTCACTTTATTAATTCCAACTAATGTTGATTTATATTTTAGTTGGACAATGTGATATTGTTTGTTTGTTTGATATCTATTTACATGAGCATATATCTTTTTGCCCATCTCTTTTTGATAATGTCAAAAGGGGGGAGATGGTGTAGATATGCATATATTCAGGGGGAATTGTATTTGTGCATATCTTAATGGGAAGATAGTATAGATTTGTATGTCTTTGTTTGATTTATGATGCAATACTTGAGGGGGAACTAGCCTTGTATGATGCATATCTCCTAATGGGTTTGTCATTATCAAAAAGGGGGAAATTGTTGGACAATGTGCTATCATGAATATATATTTTTGCAATGTCCTTTGCCTATTGTCTTTTAGGTTTTGATAATGACAAAAGGGTGACAAAACATCATCATCATTTTGTGCATCAAGGCTAAGAATCAAAGCTACAACAAGTTCATATCCGTCCGTGAAAAATGGACTTGAGCATCGGTGGAAGGAACGAGACCGAAGAGGTTGTTTCCTTAGTTGGGTAGTGTTTTAGGTCTTAGATTATGTGTTAAAGAGTATGGCATCTCTAAGGTTCATTCCCTTATCATCCTACCTTTAAAACACATTTTTTTTCAGCAAACTATTCGAATAAGTTGAAAACTATTCGAATAAATCCCTGAACTTCTATTCTGACTTAGTTGAATAAATCCAGAACTAGTTGAATAAGTCAGATTGTAGTTTCACCAAAACTAGTCGACTAAGTCTTGACTTAGTCGAATAGTTCGACAGTTTCAACTACCAAACGGCTAGTTTTTTTGAATGCTTTTCATCCCTATCCACTCCCTAACTTCTATAAACTACCCTATCTCGTGTTTTTGGCCAAGAATATACATTAGAAACACTTCAAGAACATATCCTTTGAATATCCAAAGAGATTCTACTCAATCCCCTCCTTATATCCAAGCAAGGCAATTGTTTTGATTGCTAAATCATTTCTTGCTTGAGTTTTTTTCTCATTGCTTGAGTCTTTGAGAGATATTGCCATATTCTAAAGGACTTTATTGTATTTGCAACAATCTACTCCGTGTTGGGAGAATTACTCGGTTGCGGTTTGTTTTCTTACTTTATTGTAAGGGATTTGTATTCTTGGTGTTGGGATTACACCAAGTGGTAGAAATCCTAATGGTTTGTTAAATCAAACGTTAGGTGGAAGAAATCCTGAGTTTTGTGAAATCAAAACTTCGGTGGTAAGATAAGAGGCTTGTGAAATCAAGTTCTCGAGTTGTATTCGGATTGTCAAACTCCGTTAAGTTTGACGGGTTAGTGAAGGCCTGGGCACGATTGCTTCGGGGACTGGATGTAGGCATTTAGGCCGAACCAGTATATATCGTGTGTGCATTGCTCTTATCCTTCACTTTATTTTGTTTGTGGTGCATTGTTTTTATTGATATTCGTGAAGAACGTTTCCGCGAAAAAAAAAACTGGTCTTTTGGGCAACACCTCTATTCATCCCCCCTCTAGAGGTGTGCGAGGCGTCTAACAATGTGAACTTATGATTCTACCATACATTAAAAAAATATGATTCTTCTTCCCCATATTAATTTATATTAGCGAAAAAAATTATTCCTCCACCACATTGATTACAAAAATAGTTCTTTTCTCTTGCCTTATTTAAAAAAAAATTTTGTATTAACGACCCATTATCTACATGATTCTTGTATTAACCCTCTACATGAATTGATTTTTTAGTCACATATCTACTTGCCCTCCACATTATAATTTTTCTTATCACACTCTTCTTTACATAAATTTATATGTACGATTGCATAAATGACAAGGTAGAAACTAGAAAGTGAGCCCTCTCTCATGCAAATTTTCTTATTTTCAAGCACATAAATAATGAATAATTACACAATGCAAATAAATTTATAAATTTTAAGTTACAACCTAGTAAAAATGATAAGTTATTGTATAAACTTCTTTTGATTAAAATAGTAAGTCAAATTGTCAAGATAAAGTACAAAAGTCATATTAAATCTTTTTTCTAGTTTTATTTAATTTAAATATTTGATCATTTACAAAAATAGTCAAGTCAATGCTTTTGCTCCGGGTACATTTTGAACTTGGGTGAGCTTACCTATTAATCTTAAAGAGTTAGCTTCCTATCACACAGTCCAAGGAGAAGCTCGATCATAAAATATGGTAAACTATCTTTGGTGAAAATAACTAAAATCACATAAAGCAAGAAGATTAGTAAAAAATTTACTAAAATTGCATAAGGCAAGAATTACCAAAATCATTGGGTTATAAAATTACTAAAATTTCTTAACGGGGAAAATTATACGAAGTATTTAAATATGAGTTTTTCTAACGCGTGAACTCCATTAATTTGCTTTAAATATGGAAAAAATATATAGAGCAAATTTTAATGGAAAATGCTAGAATCACAAACAAATAGTTCACAGAGCACAAATTAAACTTGTCTTTTGTAAATTTTAAATTAAAATATCTTTTATTATTTAAGTGCATCTTATTTTTAGAAAAATGTTAAAAAGGCATGTTTGCGAATTTTATGAACTATTTGTTTGTGACTCTAGCATTACTCAATTTTTATTAAGACAAAGAGTTAATTACATGGCATGTTGACGTGTCAAAAAATTTCCAAATATAACGTCCACTTGTCGAATTATCATGAAGCGAGTCTCAAATATTATAATAAAGGATAAATGATATACTCAAAACCTATTGTACATGTCAAGTGTGACTCCCATATATAGATCATAGCTCCTAATTTTATACCCCGATCCATACGTCTCATATCTTTCTTTTAAATTGATTTTTTTATGCATCACTTTGATTAATAATATTTTTATTTAAAATAAACATATATTATAAAAATATGATATTTCAAAAATATGTTCCAAAATGAATTTGTTGATATTATGTGGGTATCTTTGATGTTTTTTGACTTATAACTGTTATATATTTTAGTGTAATTGGAAAAACTACGACCAATGGTATCCTAATAATCATCAAAGAAGTTTGGTGGTGCGGAGTTCACGCTTCATTGAGTTTGTTACGATAAAAACCCGTTACACCGGGGGTTCCAAGGGGGTAGCGCCCCCTTGGAGGGGGTTCGGGGGCAGTGCCCCCGAGCAGGGTTCAAGGGGCGGCAGCCCCTGCGGGGTCCAAGAACTTTCGCGCGAAGAGTTGCGTGCTTTGGGTAATAGCCGCGAATGGTGTCTTCTCCTTTTCACCCCTAGTCTATAAAATCCCACTGGGCATGGTCGAATTTCGTTCGGATTTTTTACAGCAATTCTCATATTTTCGTTCTTGATACTTTCGAGTTTTATCCGATTGAATTTTGGAGTGAACAACCAAAATATTCAATCTGAAAGTGTTTACACAACTCTCGATTCATCCAAGTTATCGTTAATTTCCCGAACAATAACTTATAAATAATTTTTAATTTATAAGTTGTTTACAAGTTAAAAAACTCTTTCGTGTAGAAAAAATGACTTAAATGATATAATATGAGATTGAATACCGGATATAAAAAATTACTTGTTATAAGGGAGTTTACTCTATTTTGAATAACAACTTTATCAAATATGCATGGAAAGATTTATTTGGAAAGAGTCCCTTATAAGACGTGATTTTCTATATTAGTCTCCAAATAAAAAACCATTACATTTATGGTACTCAATTTTTGACAATTATTCCATATATATACTTTTGGGTACTATATGTGAAAAAGAAACATTTGGTCACATTTTTTTTTGTGAACCATTTAGGGAATAGTTTCTAAAAATTTAAGACCATATAATATGGAACTAAATACGAAAAATCACAACATGTTACAAAACAAAATTGACTATTTTAAATAACTTTATCAAATGTGGGAAGATTTATGGAAAATTCATTGTATATAGAGCTAAAAGATAGTACATTTCTCTGAATAGGACTAAATATATTTTATTCCTTTAATGATACATATTTTTGTATAATACGGAGTATGTCATATATGTCCTCATTAACAAGTGTTGTATAATAACTAATTATACGAATGACTCTACGAATGTAGTAATTAGCAACAAGTGTTAGATAATGACTGATTATTTAAATTACTATTCAAATTATTTTTTAATAATGTTTTATTCTACTTGAATTACGTAATAGGTCTTTTTTATTGACAAAGGACATTATTAATATTTATTCCAAGTCATTTTGGATGATTGTCATTTTTCTGACTATTAGTGAAATACTCACATTTTCAAATGTATGGTATTTTAAAATTTTCCATTACCAAAAAACGGCAATGGAAAAAACTGTATATTAACCGATCCTATTTGAAAAAAACGGCATATTTAAGCCCAATTTGCATAAATTAACCAAGATTTATTTGGGAGAGAAGGGTATCTAGCACCGACACAGCCAAAAACCGAATGACAATTGCCAATGAAGCACTTACATGTTTGCCATGCAAAGTCCTTCGCATGCATTCCTACACGTTGCATTTCCCCTTTTATTCCCTTTTTTTATTCATTCATTTTCTATCTCTATATATATATATATATACTCCCTCCCCACATTCGTCACCCCAATAAGTTCTTCAGTAATCACCTCTTCTTTAAATCAATTCTCACTCCCATATAGAACTATACCAACACCACTATTGTCATTGACACCATCTGAAACTCCTCCATGGCCACCGCCAGGACCCACCAGCTCCAAGTCCACCCGGCGATCGGTGGCGGGTACGATGCAGCCGCCGACCGCATGAAGGGCGGTTCCCTCCTCCCTCAATACCAGAACAGGGAGGGTCCCACCGCCGCGCAGGTTCTGACGATCGTCACCCTGCTCCCGGTCGTCGGGACCCTCTTGGGACTCGCAGGGATCACGCTCGCCGGGACCCTGCTAGGACTCATGGTCGTCGCGCCGCTCTTCCTCCTCTTCAGCCCCGTGATCGTCCCGGCGGCCGCCGCCATCGGGCTGGCGGTCACCGGATTCCTCACGTCGGGGGCGCTCGGGCTGTCGGGCCTCTCGTCCTTGACATGGCTCATGGAGTACCTCCGGCACGGGAGGTCCGTGCCGGAACAAATGGAGTACGCGAAGCAGAGGGTGCAGGACGCGGTGGTGCAGATCGGCCAGAAGACGAAGGACGTCGGCCAGACGATCCAAAACTCCGCTCAGGAGACGGGGAAAGACCAGAGTGCGGCGACCAGGACTTGATGATGAGTTAATTAGTTGAAGGAAGGAAGCTAGTTAAGTACTTCGTGGATGGGGTAATTAATTAAGCTGGCCGGGAATAAGAATAAGAATGAGAATAATAATAATAAAAATTAATAATTAATGATGTGAAATAGTTTTAATTAGAGGTCCTCTGTTATTAGAGTTTGTTGTTTTTTGGGTTTGTACTTTGTATTAAGCTTTATTTGGTCCTTGTTGTATTGGTATATTTTGTCGTGTTTGTCAGTAGTGACATTTGTATCATCCCATATCATGACCTTGTTTAATTTACACCATTAAACAAGAATCTATCTAGAAAAAGCTAATGCTAATTAAAAAAAATGGACTTCCAACTCAACGGAAATATATTGACCCAATGCAAGGATTACGTAAAATCTACTATGATTATGAAGTAAATATTTGAGTAATTTGGGGATTAAGAATGAGATCCATTTTCTGGAGAAGAAGCTATGTTATTTAGTGTATGAAGAATGAAAGGGTAGGATACAAATGTTTGTGGTGAATTAACCAATATTAAAAAGGTGACAATAAACGAAGGCTGGTTCATTTACTCTATATCCCAAATTAAATTGACAAAAGTTCTGCAAATTAAACGGAGTATGATTACACGTATATGCAATGCTACCCTTTTGTGACTTCATATGAACTTTTATTTATTTTTATTTATGATTTGTCATGGCCTATATGAAAAAATAAAAAATTCTTGTCAGCACTTATTTTGTTAAATTTTTAAATATTTAATTTTATTTTTAAGTTTTATACAAATATTTAAATAAAATATATTGAAAAGGCTTGAGATTTTTCTAATTTTACGCAACGTGAAGAAAAATATGGGACATAGGGAGTACTACGGATTACTCCGTAAATATCAACGATTAACTATTCACTTAGAATCTACCGACAAGCACAAACGTTAATCGGCAACACAAACGATTATGATCTGCGTTTGTCTGTGCGAAGCATGAGTACACCTATGGTAGCACGCTAGCAGTATTCCATCATATCACTATTGCAAGAAAATGTTTTTAGAACTTCGGAGTACGTGAAAGAGAAAGAAGTAATCAAAGTTAGTATTTGTAGTTTCTTGGTTAAAGAGTAACTATCACTATAGATACGTGGAAGGAGTACATAATTTTTGAGTTGTAATTTACACATATTCGTGTGTAGACATACCTGTACGATGTCGTGTCGTTGCAACATAGACTGCCACCTGCTTTTTCCAAAGCCTCACAAGTCACAATGGCCATATCATATGGTTTGGTAACTTGCAGTTTTCCCTTAACCTTGTTCAGCTTCCTGAAGAGCCTACCCACTCAACTGTAAAAGTGTTAACTGATAGCAATAGGTCCATACAAGACATGAGATCCCCAATGTTGTTGTGGTTTGGTTCAATCGAAACCAAGAATTGATAGATGTTGGGGATATGGAGGTAGAATTGGAGAAATAAAGAATTGACACACACACACACACACACACACATATAGGGAGTAAGAGTAATGTCTTAGTTATACTATTACAACATCTTTCACACACAATAATACAACAATGTACACAGGGTAAGAATTGTACATATTGGTATATGCTGACGATCCTAATAATTTTTCAACTTAATGGAAGTCACTTTGTTCTTTTGTCTGGAAACTCCAAGCGCAAACTGTACACAGTACATACAAACACATACACAACAATAAGTGGAGTTAGAATTCTCTTTTAAAAGAAAGAAAACACATAGTAAAATACTCACTCCAATAGAAGGTTGAGCTTTCCTTTTTACTACGGAGTATATGATACCAAACTTCTATCCCATAATAAGGTTCTTGTTTTCCGGTTTAGTCTTTCACAAAATAAGGTTCATGTTTCTATTTAAGGATTGTGTGGTTCATACTAGTATTATTTTTCTCCTCTATGTGACCACAAAATTTCAATTTCTTAATAAGTGTGCCATGTCAAACTATGAACCTTGTTTTGGGACTCGGGGAGTATAATGAATCTAGTGGAAGATGACTAACTTTACCGTATCATTGAGCAGCCTAAGAGCAGCAGGTCGGGTAAATTTTCTTGCAAAAAGGAAGCATGGAGCAGGTTTTCCCTTGCTAGTGCACCACTCTCTCCGGTACTCTGTTTCGTAATAAATATTATCTATTTCCTGTTTCATTCAAGCAGTCGAAACTAACTATTTCAGGTGTAACTTTATCCACTGAATTCAATACTTTGCTAAATTTCTATGGCGCTATTATAAAGTTTTGCCAGCCTTGCTCAGTGGTCTACTAATCACAATATTACACCTTGACCTTTAAAAATACAGAGTACATTTCATTTTTTCCTACAGAAGCGTCATCTTAAAAATTTCATGAAGCATTAATTGATTACATTCCCCGCCCGTCTTCCACTAAATTGATTATCAGTTAAGAAATACTTCCTCTGTTCTTAAATAAATCCAACGGAGGGTATGACACTATTCATCCATTCCCATTTGATTATCTTTTGTGATTTATACATCAAGCAAAATGTAGGCAAGTGGGGTCTCTTTAGATTTGTCTTGATATCAACTTTTTTAATTTTTACCAAAACATAATTCAAGATACCAAACACTTGCATTACACATTGATATATGCGAAAGTTTTTATGTTGTCTTTATTTAAGAAAGAAGGAAGTAAATTGTAACCTAGCCTAAGGACAATTAGGCTATTCAAACTTTGTTGTTTCTCATCCTGACTCGAATTAAGTTGGTTTCTGTGTTTTTCTTAATTCTAATGAAAAGGTGAAATGAGATACTGTACTTATTATTGAACCAGTGGGTTGGGGTGGGGGTGTGGTGCACTAATGATGAGTGTTCTAATATTTGAAATGTGAAATTTAATAGAGATGTTGTTTCCATTAGACACTTCGATGCATTGCTCTGCATACACTGCACAACTTCATCAAAAGTAAGAAGCATTGGAAGTTTAATGTGCCATTTGGATTTCGTCCATTGACTCCAGTATCTAAAACATGAAATGAAATGGTAAGGGATTGTTACTTGAGAAATACCTTAATAGATTGAATGAGCATAGGGGTAGCATCAGCTAACTTGTATGTAACAGGATGCCACCCTTGCCGTTCACGCCGCTTGGAAGATGGAAGATCCCATGATGTGTGAGTCAGGGTTCTTCTGATTAATTCTCCCCCTTGTCCTTTTTGCTGCATTAAATTGAATGCAAAGTGTTGCTTGAGATTAGATAAATCCCACAAGTATGTAGCACATCTGGAAGGATTTATATTTTCTGGACTGAAATTTTTACATTCAAAGAAACTTACTGCAAGCAACGTTGGAATATAATGTTCATCAGGTATACAGTTATGAATTTTTGATGTATCCGCAGGCTGCGACATGAAAAACATTTTTATCAGAAAAAAGAATGAAATACTTGATTAAGTTTGGAACCTGCAAAATGCTAAGAAACTTGGAA